ATTTTATCAACTTCATATTTTATCTACTTCTGATACTTCTTATCCTATGTATAGATAATAATGTAATAGTTATTTTCATAATACTATCCTTTTGTAATTGTACTCCATGTGTTATATAGCTATAAGTAGTCTCTTTTGGTATTAATACTCATAACTGTTAAATAACTTTTCATTGTCTGTTTTCTTCATTGATATTTAGGAATATATATGTATGTTAGTGTCAATCTTTTATTTCTTTGTAAGTCTGTTAATCTTCTGAATCGAATGAACTCTGTAGAATCTTCCATCACAGTTTGCCGATCAGATGAAAAGTCTCTTTCCAACAGTCGATGTCCAATTGTCTAAAGGAATGCTTTCCTGATTTATTGCCACAAGGATCTGTCACGCTTTACCTACATTAAAACAAATAACATGTGCAGCATCAATACAATGGCTTACAATGTTTATATCTCATTATTATTACACAGTTTAACATTGAATCATATTGACTACACAAAACATACTCATATCTTCTCATGAGATCTACCATCTAGTGGTCATTACATTTATGCCATGTGATGTATAATCTTTACATTTCCTTTTATATTAAAATCTTTCTGAACATGTAAATTCTAAATTCTCAAACTTATTATTACTCATACCTTATTAATCATACCCCCCTTTAAACTGTTTAATAATCTGGAGGTATAACCTAATCACATATAAGATGTTACAAAAAAATATTGTTTTCCACTATACTTTAGCAATAGTAGCCATCTTGTCTTAACACTGGCACCATTTTGTCACATGAAACAAACTACAAAAACATATATTGTTTCCTTCATCAAATGTATTTGTAAATCTAGGTTTTATTCTATCAAAACTTGTGTCTTCTATGTAGTCAAAATATATGTATGTCCAGGCTTTGCAAAATATAGTAATCCATTATCAGTCATGACATTAAAATCTCATTCTCATGAATTAAATCAAAGATTTTAAATCAACCTCAGAAGCAACAACATTGTTTTTTCTTCTGTAAAATGATTGGAGTTACTGTATAATTGCATACACCCAATATAACATACATTGCATGTTCCTAACTGCTACATTAGTGTATTTCATTCTGCCATATTTGCAAACTTGATGTAAATTTTTATTTCAATTAATTAACCTAATACTTTCTTCTAACAGACATAAAACAATGAAAAAACAGTTCAAACTAACAATTCATTATAACAACAAACTAACCTAGATCTCTATTCTTGGCTGTTCTTAATTCTGGAATCAGACTGTGTACATCTGTTGGCACACATATCCATGCTCATTCCCTAAACTGATCATATCTCTTGAAGTTCTCTGATTCTTATAACTTTCTGTGTTACACTGCATTGCTTGTCTGTCTCCTAATTTTGATTTAGCTAAAATTGCTTTTATTTGTCTCATTATCAGTTTACAAGGAAAGGCCTTTATTGATTTATCTCCACATGTATTTTCTCTGTCAAAATTTTCAATCAACAAATTTAATTTCTCATTTGCTTTTGATTTGATATCTCGGATAAAATATCTGCAAGATCTTAAATAATGTTGTTTATTGCACCAAAAACAAATAACTTTAGGAGTTATATTCTGCCCTATATTATCAACTCTACAGTTTTTAGTTGAATAAATTGGGAGGGGCTCAGCTGTCTGTATCACTCTTCACTCTGTCCTAGAAGAAGAAGAAGAAGGAGGGGGACGAGGGCTGTAAAATCTGCACTTCTTTCTCTGCCTAATTCCACAAGTCATTTTAACCCCTTCATTCTTGGTTTCCCTCCTTACGTTATCCAAGAACAAAGCTACTTCTGTCAAAGTGCTTTTTTCTCTTGCTAACACAATTGCAGTTGGATCTAGATCTTGAAATTTTTTCACAAATTCATTAATTAACTGATTCTCAGAAAAATCAGCAACAAGTCTATATGCAATTTCAAATTTTACAAGAAAACTAAATATATCCTCCCCCTTGTGTGGTTTTAGTTTTTCCAACATTTCAGTGTCTGCAAAATCATTCCCTGTTGTTAATTTTATTAATTGTGTTAATCTGTCTTGCTTATTTCCATATATTATTTCATCATTGTCCTCAAATTTTACCAGCGTGGTCAGTCTACATGCCATTTGAGTCGGCAGCCATATTTGAAATAGTCTATTCCTTTGTTCGTCATTTAGGCTGTATTTGTCTAAATTAGACTCAAACATTTCAGCATTAGTGAATGCATCCACTGACGTGTCATAAACTGGAATACATTTCACAATTTCCATTAATTGTTCATGGATTTTCAAATTAAGTTTTGCAGTTCTGTCTTGAAATTTACATTTCTGCAAATCACTCTGTGAGGATACATTTTCAGTATCTGTTAGTTCTGGGATTAGATTCTGTGCTTGTATTTTTCTGGTATTAACACACACTAGTTTAACTTCATTTCTAAGCTGGCAAATAAGATCATTTCTTAGTTCAACTCTATCCTCTAATTCACAGACTTTTTCTGACAATGTTCTCTCTGTTAGATTGTTACACTGTTCATTTAAATCTGATTTGTCTTCTGTTAACCCATTCAAATTTATTTCTTTATCTGCTGATTCTAAATTGTCTTGACCTGCATCTCGTTTACAAATCAATGCATTGTAAGAACAGACTAGTTTCATAACATTTCTGATCTTTTGTTTTTTCTTATTAACAAACAATTTCTTGTCAATTTCACTATTGGCAATTTCACATTGTGTGTATAAAGATTGCCACAATACAGCATCTGAATAGCTGCTATTACATGCAAACTGCAATTTACTTTTCTCTGCAATATCATTTATGAATTCCATGTTACTCACCAGATCAGTTATCTCTGTCTATTTCGTTGCTTCATCCACACAGCTGCGCAGTTCTTTGCTTGAATCTGGAAATTTGCCAATCTCTGCCACGTGCTTGCTTCTAGAATTCACGTTGTATCTTGTGCTTTTTCTCTCAGTTGTAGAAAATAGTCTTGTACAGTCTTTGTGATTTGAAAACTTTCTTTTTCTTACAAACCACAGTTCTTCTGTGACAGTCAGTCTAGATTCTTTTTTTCTCTTCAAGTTTGTTTTCCCAGTTCCAAAATAGCTTTGTAACTCGATTCTTCTCTCTCCCCCCTTGAAGTGGGAACAAAACTTGAATAGAAGACTGGCAGGCTAGCCAATGTAAAAAATGTAGATGAATGGATGTTCATGTAGAATCTTCTTAATTTCTTCTTATCTTCAGTTGATTGATATATATACGTCTTTTGTATATATATTCTTGGGCCAAATGCTCGCCACAATAATATATGTCTATATTATTGAAAAGTACTAATACGCAATCTGACTTACGGTTTCTTCAGGTTTATTCTTTGTTGCGGATACATAATAAAACAACAAAGGATGTTACAGGATAATGGACATTCAACAGCAGATGGTAATTGCTGGACTTCTGATGGGAGAGTTACATCGTTGTACAGAGCCGAGAGCCAAGACTCAAACCAAGACTGAGACTGAGAGACCTCGTGTCCCTCTGTTACTATATAGATGTGCTAATACTAACGTCAGCATTTAACTCTAGCCATATAAGGAAAAGACCCCCGAATCCACATTCCAGAGCTCTCGGACAAAGAAAGCCTTGTGACTTATTGATACCATCTGTTACTTATGTCAATCCACACATCCATATATATAATCAATAGAAACATAGAATATGCAATATTCTACAATTACCTTGCAGGGTTAACTCCTCCTCTAGTGGCTGTCTGGTAGTGGCTGCTTCATAGCGTCGTTCCATTCCCCATAGGAAAGCATTGAAAAGCATTTTCAATGCTTTCCTATGGAGAGCTCTAATGCACATGCAGATTAGGTCTCCTCAGCCGGCGGGCGGGATCAGTCTCCCCCGCCGGCTGACGTGATGAAGGGGAGGAGCACCAGCGACCCAAAACCACTGCTGAGGGACATCGGCGGGGGTCTCAGGTAAGTCACTGAAGGGGTTTTCACCCCTTCAGCATTGGCGGGGGTCTCAGGTAAGTCACTGAAGGGGTTTTCACCCCTTCAGCAACCGGGGATTGGTGGTGGGAGGGGGGACCTGCAGTGCCAGGAAAACTGATAGTTTTCCAGGCACTAGAGAGTCCCTTTAAGACATAATGTTTCTCACTTTCTATGAATATTAAAATTTCACATATTTCAGATTTTATAGTAAGTCAGACTATAGCCAGTGTATGGTCCAGCTGATGCTGGAGAAGAATTCGGGGACATTTGGTCCAGCCAAGGCTGGAATACTTTTGCTAAAAACTATTGCTGGGCATTTATTATTATTATTTTTAGAATTAGTTATGACTGTCATCTCAGTAAACAAGTAG